ATATATACACATACACATATGTATCTCTACTTATATAGAAATGTATTTTTTTCTAGATTATATATCATTACATTAATATATTTAACTGGAGAATTGTAAGACATCTTACAGAGCCGAGCATGTGGAAACTAAAACAGGTATTCTCCAATTTGTCTTTTGGGATTTTGTTGAAGATTTAGAAACTGAGAAACAAAAGGTATTTACCCAAGACTCAAACATGACTAAGTGCTGTATGACTCTTAGGAATTTTGCAATTGGTTTTCATGACAGTGTATGTGACACTAAATGCCATATTTAGCAAGTGGATGAAGAATGCCAGGTAACAGTGTTACCACATTTTTCACCTTGTTGGGTTGAAGACATAAAACACAGTGTGATAAAGAAAGCAGACAGCAAGGTCTAACTTGTTTTGGTTAGGCCCACTCTTGTAGTCTACTCACAGTGCACTTAATGTACACTGACACAAACTAGCCAGAAACACCATTGCAGTTGCTCTTTTTGTAAGATTGTGATTGGACAAACAGAAATAACACTGGCAGCCATCCTACATAAGTCCAGTGTTTAAAGCATTTGTTTGAAGGACAGAAGATTTAGATTTATTTTTTTTTCCATTCTTCAAATTCCATCAGCAATATCCCAGGAATAACCAAGATTGATGGAAAAGGACAATCAGCTGTAGTAGGGGAAAAAAAAAGGCACTACTCGTGTCTTCTGTTGAAATTAAAAGCATGAAACTGGAAAAATTAATCAGGACTCACAGGGCCAGAAGGATTGGTTGGGTTATGGAGACCTGGGTTCTCATTCCTGTTCCCAGACCTATTTCTGTGTTAAGATTTTTTTATCTTATAATAATTCTTATAATATAATCAAAATGAGAAAAAGTTCCAGAAAGTGAGGACCAAACTCTATTATGTTAGCTGAAAGGAGTCAAGCTAATTTAATCTTCTTTTCTAGGACAGACTCTCATCCCCTGCTCAGTCCGGAATTTTCTCTGCGTATCCTCCAGACTGAAAGAATCTTTCTTTAACACAAAGGGGCCTGTTCTGGATTTCAACTTTGTTTTCAACTTCTGCTAGTTTGTTGTTTTTGTTACCTCAACAACTTAAAAGACTTGAGCCAAGGAGCCAACAAAGCCCACCACAGTGCTTTGCTTCTAATTTATCCTGCTAGTGCATCGGAGTGGCTCTGCAACTCTACAGCCAACTTTTCTCTCTTTTGGTATCAGCACGTTATTATAAAGGCTACTATCACCAGTACATTCCTAAAACTTCCTTACCTTCTCCAGCAAATTCAGTAAATATCCATGTGCTCTCACTGCCTGGACAATTCAACCCAGCCTGGGTTTCCTTGCTCAGCTGACTCTGGAATTGGTTTTGCAGCACCAAAGACCAGCAATATGTGAAATAAATCTTGGCCATAACGTCAAATAACAAACTATAAGTAGTAGGGAGTGATGCCAGCATTACTCAACAATTGAAATTTGAAAGTGTGGGGAACATGAATGTTGCTCTCACCTTCCTCTCGGTAAGTCTGCATCATCTTTCTTCCACCGGACTGTGGGTGTGGGATCCCCCTGCACCTGGCACCGGAAATCCACAGCTTCCTCCTCCAGCACCACTTGGTTAATCGGTCGCCTCAGAAACGTGGGCCGTTCTTGAAAGAGACATTAAAATTCCTTAGTGAGTCAGAGGGCTGAAATGAACACTTTTGACTTATCAGCATCTTATTATTTACCAATTCACAGAACGAAGAAAGGAGGCTGAGCTCCACAAATTCAGACAAGTGGGACTGATGATGCACATAAAGGGCCTGGAAGATGACTGACAGGCGGGAGAGGCAGTGACTGTCGCATCCAGTCCTTACGCAAGAGCCAAGTGCCACCAGAAGGAAGCCTGTGCTAGCACTGACTGCCCACCTGCCACACCAGCCGAGAGGTCTCTGAGGCCATATCCTTCCATGTGAATGTTTTGGCTCTGCACCATCGTGTACACAGAGCATGATCCAAAAGCTCCTGCCTGCTCTAGCGATATATGAGCTGTCAATGGAGACAGCCTGCTTTGGCAATAATCAATATTTTGATGCTTTGGAGGAAAACGTAAACTCTGTGTTACGCATCTTATCCAATTGCAGACTGTCGTACAGAGGTCAGAGCTTCCCTGATCCCCATTGTTAACTTCACCACAGAAAACTAAATTAGGGTCTGAATAATAACTTCTGTTTACCCTTGTTATGTTAGCCTGCACAGCTACAAATATTATTAATCATCATAATGTTGTGCAGGCCTGCTTAAAATCCAGATGGAGAGCCACAATCTGATCTCAGTTATACTGGTACAAACTCAAAGTACCGGTAATTTCATTTGAAAGGATGTCACTGGGGTTAGTTTCCAAGTTGCCTTTGGATTGCATAAATTTTGTTCTGTCCTTTCCTAGCCACACCGCACTTTTATTGTCATAAATTATTTATGCTAGAGTCAAACCATTATAAGACTGGTTTTATATGAAGCAGTATTTCCACTTAAGACAGGGATTTATTATAAAGACATTTTAAACTGGTTACACACTACATTTCACATTTCATTCTCAGCAAGTTGAAGAGTATGATGTCACTTAAAAAAATTATTCAAAATTCACACAGATGTAAGCAATACCAGATTCTGACTCAGGCAGTTTGTCTTGATAAGTACAGAGCTGAGTTTATGGGTTGGCTAACCATATTTATTATAACCAAATAATAATAAAAACCCGATTAAAGGAACATTAATAAAGGTTGCAAAATCAAGCACGCAACACCTGAGTGCCAGAACTAAGGCTATCTGTGTGCCCTTTAACCACTCCCTTTCTGTTTATGCCTTATGGAAGTGGTTGCAATTACATGATCACATACCATTTTCCCCCAAACATCTCCAGATTGTTGGTATTCATTTAATGATCAGGTGTTTAGTATTTTGGTCTAGTTGTACCATTTAGTGGGTGGCCTCCTGTCATACTACTCAAACTTCAATTCAAAGGCAGAATTATTAATTTCCTCCTGACCTGCATTACACCTATCTTAATGCTTCATAAACAATTCACTTATTTTCATAGCTCCTCCCTGAGGTGCGATGGAGATCTAAGAAAGCAAGGTAAAAAATATCTGCTAAATTTTGATGCTCAACCTGAGACACAAAACTGCCAATTTCTTTTTTGTTTTCCAGAATGTAGCATTAATTTTGTCTGTTCAAAGCTCGGCTTTCATTGAATTCAGTTGCAGCCAATAAAATGTTCACTTTTACAAATCAAAATAGTAAGATGGAAAATAAGGAACACAAAATCCCCTGTTAATAATTATGTAAATGAGTGATGGCATCACATAGGAATTCTATGATACTAGTGTGGGGACCTATTGGCAGGGTAAAACATATTTTGTCAGCAGAAGAATAGACATGCTCAAGAATCTATTGCACTTTTCCAGATGCTAGAGATAAAAACATGTCTAATGGGCAGAGATTCTTCTACTCATATCTCCCAGGCCATTGCTTTTGTCCTGTTCTAGTCCTGCCGGGGACCTGCAGGTTCCAGCAGCATTTGGGCAAGCAAATTCAGTTCTAGTCTCTTTCTGGACGTTGAAATCTCAGTCTTTATTCCCTGTTTCATGTCTGCATACAAGCCATGTATAACCTACAGCTCCTTGTACTGAGTGTGCTTCATCAGATTTTTCCTTTCCCGTGCACACAGTCTCCTGATCCATCCCACTCTCCAGCTAGGTTTACTCCTACCATCACCTACGTGTTTTTGCCAGCCTGTGACAGTGCCTCAAGTCCCTGTCCGTTCCAGCCATTGGCTGTGCCAGCTCTTTCCAGCTGTCAGCTGCTTCCTTAGCTGATTTGTCTTGTCCTAGCCCAGAATATTGCTTTTCACAGCTGGAACACAGCCAGTTCACAAGCCCAGTCTCCGTTTCAACTATGTCCCTCACTTCTTCACACCACCCAGCAAATTGACTCTTCTTCACTGTATGCTTGAACTACAGTTGAACTGGGGCTTCTTTTCTCTGTGCCACTCAGATACAGCCCATTCACAACGTTATCACAAGAAAAATTGGTTGAAGTAACCAAGCATCATCCCAGGAGAGTGACAGCAGCAGGAGTACAGTGCAGTTGCAGGAAGATGCTGTTCAAACCTGCATTCCACCTGGTGTCTCTGGCATATGAATTGATGATTTTTAATTTTTTTTAGGAGGTGCAAAATTCAGTGACTATTCTTTAGACAAGCAAAATATTACATCTCTGGCACAGCGTAGCTATTTCCATCAAATTTTAGGTCCCTGTAATTCTTCAATATGAGTGACCTGAATTTGTCAGGACAAAAAGCTTCCTCCATTCCTCTCCTTCAAATCCTTCCCCTTTTCCCTTCAATTATCCCTTTCACTCCAAACTGCAGAAACTTCAACATTCTTAAAGAAGAATTAATTATTTTGACAATCTAAAAAAAATAAAAAAGTCAGGTTTCCAATCAGGCATGGAAAAAAAGTGCTTTTCATTTTGACAAACTTATAAAAACTGGACAAAGTAACAAAAGCATTAGTTGTGAACATTAAGGCTAAGCAATGCACTTGGCCTGTCTGTAATTATGTGGACCTAGAAGGAAATATCTTAATGAAACTTTCTGTAAGTTTGCAACAGTATCTTATTCACAACTTCTCTCCTAAGAATAGTTCAGAGCAACTTCCACTCTGAACTTGTACACAATGCACTCCACATTTTGATATTTGTTTTTCAAGAGATGATCCTAAACCAAGAAATTTAGATCCAGATCAGCATGCTCATAGTTGTTTTAGAGGCCCTGGTTCATCCACAGTGAATTTAAATAACTCTGCATGTGCCTGTGTGTTGGCTTGGTCTGCATACAAAAATTATTTTAGATCAAGTTTACAAAAGCTGCCTGTGAACAGCTAAGAAAGTAACATATGCATATTTATGAAATTGCTACTTGGGGCTGTAAATACTTCTAAACAGGAGATGAGAAAATAAATTCCTATCACATTTTGAGGAGAGCCCAGCTGACGAGACAGTAGATGGCCCAGAAGCCATTAGATGAATGACCTGATTCCACATCAAGGTAATTTAGGAGTAGACATAAATGTCTGTTTCAGGTCAGCTTCTCAAACTGTGTATTTTCCAAAACAGTTAAGAATATGCTAGAAAATAAATAGCTATGTAAGTAGAGATCTCAGTTAGCAAGGACATGCAAATGCCAATAACTGCTATTTCAATTTTTCCATCATCTCTGCATTTTGCACAGTGTGAATCAGGAAAGAACAAGTTCTCTCTTGTGTTGTTTCCTGAATTTGTATCACACAGACAGCCCCTTGAATATGTCCAATAGCTAATTATGCAGCTATAAAGTGATCAGTGAATGCCATTGCCAATGCAATTAACATTCTTTATGTGAGATTAACTGGATTTGAGTCACCTGCATAACTTGCTTACAATGTTAATCTCTCAGGAGACAGAGCACTGCTTGCCCAAGCATGCTAAATAAAGAAGGTTTCTTCACACAGCCAGGTTAAATTTAGTTTCACAGCTAAACTTGAATAAAAATATTCTGATATTTTTCTTTTGAAATTATTTGCCCATAAATAAAGCCTTGTGGTATAATTAAATATTACTCTGTCAACAGCATACAGAACACAATATATTTGAGAAACACTAAGAAAGGCTAATAATTTAAAATCATAGACATATATAAAAGTTTTAATACAGCTATTTTATAAGCTTTCACTGAGTAAATAAAGTACCTACTTTCCAGTGTTTCTCTGATGAATATTAAAAATCTTTGAAGAGAAAATATATAAAATAGGTCACGGCTATATGTCATGTCAACCAGTCTTGCTATTACTAGGGTGACCTTTATAACTTCAGAATAAACTTTGCTTACAGTTATAATAGGGGATTGTGAATGCAATCTGGACACATACCTACAATCTGTTGAAGTGCTCGAGATATGCACTGCAAGAAAACCTACAGAACTGATCCTAGCCAGAAAAAAAAGGGAAAGTCTTTCCTTGCTTTGGGTGCTGACACAATTTGACCCCAGAACTCAATTTTTCCTCTTTTTAACCATTGCTCTGAGTATCACAGTCTATTAGAGAGGCTCAGATGACCTTCAGATGCATTACTGCCTTTTCTCTGTTTCTCAGAAAGTTAGACAGCCATATACAGACCTCAATCTAATTAAAATGTTCCTAACTACCTTAATATATTTTCTCTGCTGAGGCAACTGCTAGAGTGAAGGATTTGATGGTCCCCCTAATGTAGAGGCTAAATCTGATTTAGAGTTGTTTTCTCTGTCTTTGCTGGAGAGAAGGTATCATTTTTTAAAAATGTTTCTTGTTCTAGAAAGGAGCATTAAAACACAAATTAAAAGGCTTTGGGGAGTGATTTACTAGCAAATACTTAAAATCTTTTTTCACTTTAGCATTCCGATGGAAAGGAAAAAAAAAAGAAACATTAGATGGCTGGAAGTAAGTTTCACTTCAGAATGCTGTCAATAGCATAGGTATTTCATTAACTGTGACATGATCTGAATAAATCTCTCTGCCAAAAATGAAGACATGGAGGAATACAGGATACTAGGATCGCACAGAATTTACCTATGTTGGCGAAATAAATGAAAATACAATTGCAAAAACCAGATGGTTTTATATTTAAAGACATTCTTCTATAGCCTTTTTTATGGACTTTTCCATTTTTCCCTTAGGAAACAAGCACTTGTGTAGACATTGCAAATTTCTATACTCTAAGAAGTGATGAGAGTCACTGATGTGATACCCAAGATGTGATGAGCTTGCAAACTAAAGGAATGGAGCACTGTTAAGATGCACATACAAATAAAGTAGAATGATTTGTATCAATTGATAGTGTATTCCTCCATTTTTTTCTATCTACAACTGAGTTAATTTCAATTTTTACTGAGAATTTTGGAGACCAAATCAGACCCTTTTTCATAGCAGTGTCATTATCGTATTACAACTTGTCAGTATCTGTGGATAACAAATATTGCAAAGTCAAACTAGCTTTTTGCAGACTGCCACAAATAAGCTGCAAGTGGGAAATACAAGGTTTTAAAGAAAAACAGGAGGAGATTTGCTCTGAAGGGCAAAATACACCCTGCCAATTTCTCTGTCGTGAACTGTGGATGTATACCCAGTCTTAGTAAATTTTCTATGTGGCTAGGAAGGTTTCTGGGACTAATTTCTAGGATACCATGGGAGAAGACTTTCTGCTAAGGCCTTCCATGTCGTCAGAGCTCAGGAAAGTAAAATGAGGCACCAAGTCTACATTAAGGGATTTGGGCATTTTTTTTTCCTCTAACATCATGTCAACATAGTATACTCTTTCTGGAACTATGGTATCTCTTTCAGCTTGACAATGTCTAGAGAACTTCAAACACAAATATTTCTTCAAGCATCAGACAAAAATACCTCTTCATCCCACAGGACCTTATTAGCTGAAAAAAGGTTCAGATACCAAAGCTAAAATCAAAGATTAATCCAAAACAATCTTTAATATGTCTTATTTGACATATCTTTTAAGACATTTTTGTACTCTTCTTAGTTATGCTTTATATCCTTTTGAGGGTCTTCTAAATATATCTTTTTCCACTGCTTGATGCCAGCCTCTTGAAGTTGATTTATTAAGGCTTTCATTGATTTCACTGAGCTTCAGAATCAATATACAAGATATACCTTTGTACATTCTCTTCAAACATACCATTTTAGGTCCAAAGGAACAAAAAGGAGTCAGAAATAGTTAAAACAACTTGAAAACTTATCTGAGAACAGTGTCGTAGTATGACAAAATGATAGAAGACTAACTTAAAAAGTAATTCTTTATTTAATTTCTAGCTCCACAGCATGCATTTAGAAGCTTTCTTACAAATTGAAATGAAACTGTTTCTGTTTCGCATCTTGCTTTAATTCTGTTCAGCCAAAGGCTATGAGCCCAAACACAAGCAAAGCAGCCTAATTTGTATCAATTACATTTCTGAATTTGGCCTTTAGAACAGTACGTCCACAATAATAAAGTACCTTGTTGCATCTTTTTGTGAATGTTAAGATTGATGGATTTTTTTGTTAACTTCCTTTAAAGGCCATCTTAGACAAGGTGGCAGGCCCCGTTTTCTTGCTTCACTCCAAAATTACACCTTGGAGCCTCATAAAGGCAAAAACTAGCAGTAGTACTTGAAAGAGAAGACTTAACAAAATGTAGTGCATCATTGTCACTTTTCAAAACACAAGAATAATTTTGGGAAACACTGCATTTATAATCAGTTTGCTTTATGATATTTTACTGTGAAAGTTTGGCAATTTTCTGCTAGTAGAAGAATCATGACTTGGGAACAAAAGAAATGCAATCTACTCCACCACTAACAGTATGCTGTTAGCAGTGCCTAAATGCTGAAAACTAGGTTTCCTATGAAGACAGAGTTGAAAAAAATATTACCTGTTTTGTAAAAGTTTTAAATGTATTATCCACAACTATCTCTCAGTAAAGGTTATTGAATGGGTACCCAGCCAAGGATACATTCTGCACATGGGAAACTTCAATTTCCTCCTTCTACTTCTTTCCAAGGTTCTTATTGTCAACTTACTGTATTTTTTAAAAACTCAGGAAAGGTGCAATCTTCTAGACTAAGCTTCCATGCTGTTCCCCCTGGGCCACCAGTTGCCACTACAGTGACTCAGTTTTTCCAGAGGCAATGCCTCAAGCTAAATTGACTGTACAGGGAGCCAGAGATCTGTCACGAGTCACATGCAGAAATTAACTTTGGGTATTACAGAAAAACTTGCAACGCCAAAAGTAATAAGAGGCTGATTCCTGGAAAGGTTTGAGAACTAGTATGAAACAGTTCCTTTTCCTACAGAGTAGTGCGTTTACTAAGGCTCATTTCACACTATGTAAAGGGTTTAGGGGTTTGCTATTTGGAAAAGGAATAGAGACATTAATAATCAGCTAATTAATACACATTCCTCTCCAGAATTAGCACCAGCTGTAGGCTTGCCAGCCACATTATTAAGTTCTCTAAGTATATTGCTAAAATATCTTCATTTTAATTATAAGACCAGTTTTCAACTTTGGTCAAAACAGTTAAAGTTGGGCACATTAATAATATAGAAGTATTATGATATTTTAGCATATTTTTCTCAATATTTGCACTATCCTCATGTCCCGCAAATCTGTGAGTCATATTAGAGGAAGGCTGTGGACTTAATAAATGACCTGTGGTTTTGCGTGCATTCAGTGAAGTCAATCTGAACATGCACAGCCAATCTGATGTTTCCCAGAGTTGCTGGATTTATTTGATTTATTGTGTATGCTTAGACTGATTGGACTGCCCAGTAGATACATTGTTTCCTGGAAACATCATGGATAATGCTCACCAGTGCACTGTACACGCACCCACCCACACACGAGCTGCTGCTTGGAGTCCAGAAATGGAATACAACTGTTCTGCTGGTGGAAGGCAAAGCCAAGCTACCTCCTTTTATACTGAGTGGACCAAGACCAACCCGGATATGTCTATACAGTGATCCCAGTACACCAGCACAGAGCTTCAGGGCCTGGTGACAACTAGAAAATGTGCACAGGATAGTCAAATCACATAAACCTGAGCACCTACTTCCTGCATGCTACTCTTGTACAGCAAAAAGGAAGATAGGAAAGAAATACCTAGATAGAAGGGGAATTTTAGATAGGAAGATAACCAGATAGGAAAGGAATTTTAAATACAATTTTCTTTAGGTAACACAATTATGAAGAATTAAAATATCTAATTTCATTTAATGATGATTTTGTTCAGTATTCACAAAATAGGCCCAGACTGTATTTTACAAGTTGATTGCTATGATTAAATCCTGTAAAAAAATCAGAATATTGTAATTGGCTATGTATTATTTTACATATCAAGACAAACCTAATACTTCTTGTAGCTCTGCAGGATACAAAATTACATGCATATTTCAGTTTTTATTCCTACAGTTCAATGCTTTTTAACAAATTATTTTCTTAAGGATTTCTTAAGGCTTTGTAGTTTAGGACCGCAATCTGCTTGCTATCCACAGGGAGTATTACCAGAGATTATCAGTACTTAAACTGATGAAGAAGATATGTCATGTCTCTTTTACATCTGTATAGAGGCACAAATTCAGCAGACTGGCTGCAAAGGACATAATAATTTGATAGAGAACCCTTCTGTGTTCTTTTGCAAAGTATACTAGTTCTGTCTTTAAAAGTCATATGCTTTCATGAATCCACCACAAACTAAGTGGAGTGGAAGCCTTTGCAGTCTTGTAATGTTGGAAAACAGCAAATCCTTAGTTACTCACAGATCTTGTCTAGCAGAAAATTTTGTATGCCTTTTATGAATACCATAATATGTTTTTTTTAAAGTGGACAAATGCTGAATTGCACATACAAGCAAACACACATGGCAATTAGTGTAACTGGGTTTTCCAGTGCACCATATTAGGCAGAAGGTGAAAAGATTAGGAGTATTTGCTTCAGAAAGGACCTGAGGATTTCTATGAAAATTCTTACTGGAATTACAAGCAGTCTCATTTGGAATTTTGCTATTGTATCAACAATATCAAAGAGGTATAGCAGGAGGGAACATTAACACTATTTCTCTTTCTCTTTTCTATGTACATATGTGTTTTCTTTAGCAGTGAGGCATTTTTATCCTTATTGATTTTCTTTTGTTTGCACAAGACCTCTTGACTAATTCCTATAAAACCACAGCTAATGGTAAATAGAAATGTCATGACTGCAGGATGTACCACAGCAGGATTTTACAGCTTTGCTTCTTATCCAGTTGTTAGCAGGATGGATCCAGCCCTAGGTTCAATATTACTCTATTCTCGCTGTAGACCCTAACCACAGGGCAAATGTTCCTAACAACTTCTTGCCTTGCCCATTAGGTCTGGAAGCTCTTTCACAAAGGAAGCCTATTCATTTTTGAATCATTCAGCAGCACCAAAAACCAAAATGATACCCTGGTTTATTGCTGAAACACAAACTGTGTCATGACCTTTAAAAAACAAATGACAAAAGTATCTCCATATATCCAAAAAGTTGATCTCAGGATGCTTTCTAATGACTTTTTACTCATCAACTGAGCTCTTTTGTGCTCTCCTACAAAGGTTTGATTTCAAAAGCCTATAGGAACAAGGAATTATTTAAATAGGCACTGCTGGTCCAAATCCCTGTTAAGCAGACATTGTCAACTGTATTAGAAGTAGCTTAATTACATTTGGCCATTTAGTAAGGGAGAGCATTATGTCTTGCATTACCGTTTCTGAGTGTATGCATATCACTAAGGACCTCCAATTAGACTGAAACTTAGAAGGAAAATGTTGAGCCATCATAGCTCCATAATTAGAAATTGCAGCCCTTGAAAGCTGGTGTTCTTCAGAAACTGTGAAATGTAGCTTAAGCAGTACTACTGTGTTTTGTTAACCTTGTTTTGTCTCGTATTTTGATGAGTCATCCAGGTCAATTCCATCTGTGATATCTGAAAAGGAAATAAAAGCTTGAGTCACTTTACCAAAGACAGTCAGCTCCGCAGGATCGCTGTCTCGCTCCCCCACCATGTTTGTTCCAACACAAGTGTACATGCCGGCATCACTTTTTCTTGTATTGGAGATCATCAGCTTCCCACCACGTATCTGTTTCAAAACAAGGAATATATATTTAACTTCAGATAAACAAAAGATATCAGAAAAAAAACTATCTTTTCAGGCAGCAAGTTCCACAACTGAAAAAAGTTTTGTCTGTACATACACGTATAGCTTTAAAATTATAATCCTATATACTTAAATATCTTTGAGCTGTTCTAGAACACATTTTAACCTATTGACTGATTTTAACTGCATTTGAGGTTTTTCTTCTGTTTTCATTAGGTGCTTTACATTTCAAAGATTACATTTCTCACTGCTTCTTCGGCAATGCAGAGTGCTTGTATTTCTTGCATGATAGTATGTAAAGCACTCTTGACACCTCTTTCAAGAAAAAAAGCAATTCTACTTAGTTTTATTTAGATCATTTTATTTTACTGGTGTCTGAACACTTTCCTTGTTCACTGATTAAGACAGATTTTCTCTTTTCCCTTACGAAAACAGGCTCAATCTAGCCCAAACTGAGAATTCACCTGACTCCCATAAGACTTAACATTTTCCTGGCTACAAAGGGTGCTTAGAGAGTGAAAGACCAGAGTAGCTGAAAAAAATAAAGTCACAATTTACAGTTTGTGAAGTCACAGATGATGTCAAAAGTGGGACAATAGGGTGCTTCAGAATAAGCTAGAAATATAGCCAAAGGAACTGGAGAGCCAGGGAATGATAACCAGTTCCCTGCCGCTCATTGAGTAGACCCTAGCAGAGACAGTCTGGCCCATAAATAGCAACTACCTAGATTGTTTAGCTTGAAAGACTTCCTTAGGTATTCAAAGAAACAAACAAGGTCCTGATAGTACTTTCACACTGAATAAGGTCAGCTCTGGATGAGTTACATATCATGACCTACAGAATAAAACTACATAGGAGGAATATTAATAGTGAAAAGCTAAGCATTTAAAACTTAGGAATTAAATATGTCCTTACACCCTTAATTCATCTTATTTGCTTGCACATACCATGATGCAATTTCTAATCGCTAAGTTTGATAATTCTGCTGGACACTTTTTCATTCAGTACATGGAATGAACTGTCACAGAATTCAAACAGTGTTATTCATTTACTCAATTAAGTATTCCTATTCAGGAACAATCATTCCGTGGAGTAGAACTTCAGCCTTTACATAGAATACACATCCCAAATACTACACTAAATGCAACATTACCAATACCATCCTAAACTGTTATTCCCCCCTCACCCCGCCTTGCATTTGTGTACCTCATAGATATGACTGATTTTATCTTTAAAACAACTCTCTGATATAAAGTCTGGTATTCTCATTTTTCTGAACTGAGATCTAGAAAAGGTAAGGACAAATTGGTCGAAGACATCCACTGAGTACTTCATTTAATAGAGCACTTCACATGACCAAATCAACAGCTTTAATAGACCTCCATTACACTGGTTATACAAACCAAGTCTCAAGAAGTTCAAGTTGGAGACCCAAACCAGAAGAAATAAGCAAACTTCCTCTCTTATTTGGAAAAGCTCAGAGCGGCAAACTGCCAAGAGCAATGATGAATCTCCACAGAAAAGGCCATAAAGCTGTAAGGTTCTGGTGCACTCAGTTGCAAGGTTTCAATGCAGGTCCTATGTCCATAGATAACCACCCGACTGGTACTCACACTAATCCGCTCTTCCTTGTCATCAATACGGACTTTATCTTTTTTCCAGTAGATGGTAGGTTCAGGGTGTCCACGAGGTGGCTGGCACTCCAATATGGCAGGCTCTCCAGCTGCCACCACAACATCTGTAGGGTTTTGGCGGAAGTCATCCCGTAGCACTAATGCAATAAATGAGGTAAAGAAGAAAAAAGTTATTAGAAGTGATGACACTAAGTGTGGGAAAAAATATATGCAAATACATGTAATATTAAGCATATAAACAAAAAAGACTCAGCCATTAGGTGATTACTTTGTGTCTTATATTTACTATAAAAGTTCTCATAAAAGAAGTTGGTGAGGTGGGATCTTTTGTCCAATGAAGGCAGATTACACATACATAGAAGTTTTTTTTCCAAAAGTAGAATTGCAGGTCTGATGTTGAATTCTTTTCATAACAGAAAACCATGTTCTGAATATCTGGCTTGCCTGGATCCAACTTCAGCATAAGATAGGTAAGAAATGACACAACTGATACTGAATTGCAGAGTAACACCTTGATTAAAGGTATTGTTATTATGACTGTTATCATTATCACCAAATACATGCTGAAGCGATCACCAGTTCTGAAAGGTGTCAGAGAAATCAAGCTGATAGTAGTGTGCTACCAGCATATTTATTTAAAGAATATTTTATTCTTTTTTAGTTTTAATATTTCTGCCACTTTGACCAGTGCTGTCCCATGACATTAAGAGGAAAGAGCATTTAAATCACCAAGCTGTTTGAGAACTAAATTAGGCAGCATTGGTCAGCTTCTTATGTAAATCAAGCTTCTATAAAGAAGGATTAGGTCCAATAGCTGGCTTCAGTGTGTTAAAGAGATACCCACTTCATCGTTATTCTACCATGTGTGTCCTAGTCTCTAGGTTAATTGACATTCTTATAAACATAAAACTGAAAATAGCTCTCAATGAGCTACTGAAATAGAATTTAGGGCATTTCCCCTCCTTGAATTTCAGCTACGTATGGCTTTCATTACAGCTTTAAAACAGTTCTCGCCCTTAATGGAACCAGGGCCCTCTGAGAAATTAAAAAACACTGTATCCTAGTGAAGGGGCAAGTCAGGAAGAGTTCAGCAGAAATTGCTCAGTCTCATTTCATAAGCAGAGATAATTTACTGCTTTCAGTGTTAATAAAATGTGCCCCATTTTAACATTTGGAACTGAATATTTTTCTGTTCTGTAATAAGTCAGAAGAAAATATGATTAATAGGCACAAGAATTGGTATCTGAATGGGCTGAGGTGAGTAGGCTGTATATATGTGGCACTCAAAATGACATGTGAGGTAACTTTTATTGTTCCCCATTTTGGGATACACAGGTAGATCCCAGAGGGAGGAGGGAATTAATTGGAAGTTAATTCCTTTTCTAACACACAAAAAAAGTGATTATTTAGGTCTTGCTCTTGATGCATAAAAGGGACAGGATGCAGTTGGCAACAAATGCACCTCTGGCAAGAACCCAGTCTTCTTAGGTGACACACCCAATTGATACAATTTTTTTCCCAACAGATAACTTGATGAAAGACTCAACCCCAAAACATTTCTGATTAATAAAAATTACTCATATACTTTTGATTCACAATAATTAAATTGACAGAAATGGAATTTATAAAGTTTCAAGATCCAATGGCAGAAATCACATGCAATGCACAACACAGAAACAGTACACTGAAGATCATGGGCTGCTGATTATTTGGCATTACAACATTTTGCAAAGCCAAGAAAGCTAATATCACAGCAATTTCAGGGAAAGAACCAGAAAGAAAAGTCTTACAAAATCACCTATTTTAGGAAGCAACTTCATGTGTCTCTGTGATTACTATGATATACAGGAAGAAATAGTACTTATAGGCAATGCTATGCCCTCTTTCGCATAACTGGCACATAGATAAACATCAACTTCTTCCATTATTATTACACACAAAATAAATGTTAATTGTTATTGGCTTGATTCTTTGCACAACTGACAGAACTTCACTGCAAATCTGTTAGTGGAAAATCCCCAGAAAACCAGCAGATTCCACGACATAATGACTTTATATTCTTGACATTTAACTCCTGGCAGCAGTATTAAGGAAAGTGTTTTTCTTGAACATTTCACACTGCTATATGAAGCTGACAAATATAGTTTCTTGGGGTGATACACAGCAAATAACATTAACTTTCTCTGAATCATCCCAGCAACTGTGTAAGGTTCCAATCAGCCTAAGAATATGAGGCTAAGAGGTGATTTGATTTTATCACATTTCTTTACCCAAGTCTTACTGCAAATCTGGCTTGAATGGAAGACAAAATTGATGCTACAGGGTTTACTTAATCTTGCTCTGTACCTCAGCACATATGTGAATGCTGAATAGATATATCTCACTATTTCCACCTAAAGCATTCTGTGTTTTGGAGAAAAACAAAAAATGGTTGGATAACAATGAAATAGGGAAAAATAAAGCAAAGATAGAAAGACAAAGATAAGAGAAAAATCTGTGGCAAATAAATTAAAAAGAGAAAACAACTCAGAGAGAAAGAGGAAGAACATTGTAAGTTTAGGGAGGACAAAACCAAAAAAGCCAGGTATAGGAAGGAAGAGTAAGAATAAGAGCAGAGAATAAAACAAGGTAAAAGGCAGAGTGCACTAGCTGCAATTCCTGTGATTAAGTATTTTTAATACGATATAACAATGATGATACAAAGCACAGATGTTAATCTGATCAGCACAGCCATCCCAACACATCCAAACATCACACGAAGAGAGAAGGAGCCAGCAAGAGGAAGGGTGTGGTGCAGAGGAGAGCAGAGCACATGCTGGTGAGCTTGGCTGTCCCACTCCAGCAGCATGGAAAGCTACAGAAGAAAGGAGCATCAACTGGAAGTTGAGTTCACAGTTATTAGCACAGTAAATGGAAAAGTTGCAGCCCAGCTTAGTGCATTCACCATATCTAATGGCACAATCATCTGTGAAAACAGAAAAATGGTTGAGAGCTGCAGAATATTCCTTAGCCAATTATTCACAATTGCTGGGTTCTTCGAAATAACCACTAGTGTGCCTGAGCAAATCACCCTCTCCACACATTGACAAGAAGCTTTGGTTCATTTGAGAAGCCAGCCATCCTCAGGGCCCTCTTGGCATGGCACAAATACTAGCATTCTAAAAATTTAACACAAGTAACAAAACATTGCCATTAGGCTCCTCTTCCTCATCTCATGTGTTTATTTTGCTTTATTCCAATTTTAACTCAAGCTATGTAGCTCCCTTTGTGCTTGTGTGGGTGTTACCTTACTTTTAACTAGAGATGCCAAAGAGAAAGACTGCCGGCACCCCATCCTGCCTGTCCACACTGGGACTGTACTGCCTCTGGACTTCTCAGAGAGCAGAACCCATGGCAACGACAGCAATGCAGAATGCTTCTCCAGCTCAATGGCAGCGCAGACATCCTCATGTTTTGAAAGCTAAAGCCTCACAAGAGAAAAGCTTCAGGATAGCTAAACCTTGCTGTTTGGAAAGGCACCAGGGAACCAGAGAACTGGAAAGGACAACTAAATCGTACACACAGCCTACAATGATGCTGCGGACAAAAGTTAATTAAACTTTGATTGGTCTCTTTGTAGCTGAAACAAGCTGATGCTGCTCAAACAAGATAGATGTCTGTGAGCTGTCACATCTGTCTGTCTTTAAGGCATGCAAAGTCCAGTATGGCCATTTACAGGTACAAGTGAATGTAATCACGGAAAGCAAGCACATCTAGCAACGGCAGCGCTGAGATAAACATTTGCAGGCCATGCACCTGCCAGAGTGAGGGAGAAAGAAGAAAAAAGAAGTCTCCGCTACCAAGGCAACTGCTTACCAGCACCTGCCGGCTTAGGCCCAAATCCAGACCTCGGTCAAACTGATGCTCATAAACACAGTGAATTACAGGGAAACTGAATTAATTTCCTCGACCGAGGCTCCAGCAATTTGTTTAAAGGAAGAAGAGATAAAGCCACTACGTTTATGGGGTAGGAGGGAAGGTGGCGGGGTCAAAATTATTCTAGGCTAGATATCTATGCCTTAATCCTGCTTTCCACTACAACAGCTTTCAGGCCCTTAGAAAGAAAACATTTTTATAGGATTTACATTTACATGATGATTACAAATAACCATCTGTCTGCTTCCACTTTTTCAATCTGGTCCATGTCCCACGAGCCCCCAGCCTGTGGTCAGAGCAGCTAAGCTGGAAGGAAGAAGTGGATGCCCGTCAGGAGGCTTTGGGATAATTGCATTCTTTTCCCACCAGCGCTCGGCTCTCCACCTCCTCCCCCCAGCGTGCATGGCGAACATCTGAGATTACTGAGGATGGGAGGGAGGGAAAGACTATCTTTTTTGCCTTTATCAATGGATGATAATGTCTTAAAACACAGCTACATCTGTCGTGCTGACTAAAGGGTATAAAGACATATCAAGTAAATATTAATGTGCCTCTGTAACGTGAGCCCTAGGATTTTACCTTGCCTCTCCCATTCTGTTTTGTACTTATCTCAGGATAATATTATTCTCATACAAATATTTTACACAGCCACATCAGGGGTAGGTTGGTCACCTGCCACATGCAGGTAGCTCTCCCCTGATCTAAGACACTGCCCCCCAAGCATTTTCCTAAATCCTCATCTCTCTACCACTGCTTTGGCACTTCTGTCCTCTGATACATACTGATATGCACAATCAATGTGAATTATGTCAAATAACTGCCCAGATGTCATGCAGTCAACAGATTAAAGGATTATTATACTTTAGGTAGCGTATGGTGCAGCGGGGTATTTTAGAACTTGGCTAATGTGTATGATCTACTGAAATGGTCCCTGAGCAAGCCAGCACTACCTGCTGAAACAGGATTACAGAAGAAAAACAAGAGGTCACAGACAACCTTCCATGTGAAGAATAATAATGATACACTTTGAGGATGCTGCTGCCCTACCTCTTTGTTTCAGCAACTGCCTCTGTCATGTTTTGTAAGAAAAAAACAATCAAACAAAAAACACAAACAAAAAACAAACCAAAACCAAACCACAACCTAGGCAAGACTCACAGGTTGTTTCTGAGCTCCCTCTACTTGTGCACTGTGTGGGAAAAATTGCCATCTTTTTTTTTAA